CACATACACACACACACACACACACATCAAGATAGAGCATTTGCCAGTCAGCCTGCACAAGTTCCATCTCTAGAACCTTAATACTAAAAAAAGAAAAGGGGGAGATTGGAAGGAAAGACTTGCTCCATGAGGTGATATAACCAGTGCCAAAATTCCACAGGTGTTCTAAGATGTGAAAGAGGACAGAGAGCCTCAGGCAGAAGGTCCAGAATGGGCAACGGTCTTGAGGTGTGGTTTAGAGCAGGTGGTGTGGGTGGAATGAAGGTTTGGTGGCTTCAGACAAGTTTGGCAGGACATTCAAGGCTGTGTCAAGGTTTGTACTTGAGTCACAGGTAGGGCAGAGGTTGGGGTCCCAGAATGGGGCCCAGGGGGAAGATTAGCTTGTCTTTTCACCATGGACCCCAGCCATTTCCTGTGGCTGGAAGGCTATTTTTTATAGCTCCTGACCCTCAGGCCTCCTTTGCATGGAGGAGTCAGGGCAAATGAGGGGAAGAACGCTTGCTTAAGAAAAGCTTCTAGGGGATGAGAAGGAGGCTCGGTGGTAGAGCGCTTGCTTTGCATGCCTGAAGCTCTGGGTTCGATTCCTCAGCACCACATAAGCAAAAAAGAAAAAGCCGGGAGTGTCGCTGTGGCTCAAGTGGTAGAGCACTAGCCTTGAGCTGAAGAGCTGAGGGACAGTGCCCAGGCCCAGAGTTCCGGCCCCACGACTTGACCTCCTCCCCCAAAAAAGAAAAGCTTTTAGCCTAATACCACCAGTGGCTCAACCCCTGCAAATCCTAGCTACTCAGGAGACTAAGATCAGAGGGAGGAAAGTTGAGGGAAAAAGTTAAGAGACCAAAGCCCAGACCCCTCAATTCAAGCCCCAGTACTGCCACCTAAAAAAATAAAGAAAAGCTTTCAGGAGCTCCTAGTCCACTGTAGTGAAACTCCAGATCAGCCCGGCACAGGTGGCTCACACCTGTCCTCCTAGCTCCTCAGGAGGCTGAGATCTGAGGATTGCGGTTTGAAGCCAGCCCAGGCCGGAAAGTCTGGGAGACTCTGATCTCCAAAGAACCTCCAGAAAACTGGAAGTGGTGCTGTGGCTCAATTGGTAAACTGAAGAGCTGGGGGACAGTGCCCAGGCCGAGTTCAAGCACCATGACCAACACCTGGCCTGCTTGGACCTCACTCTGTGGCAGAGTGCTTTCCAGTGGGCCCCTGAAGGTCTCCCAATGTCTAGGTGTCCCACCAGTCTTCAGAGCAGCCTCTTTGGCTGCAGAGTAGGCCACAGTATCAATGGGTCAAGCCTTGGGGCATGGAGGTCTTTGGTCGAGTCATCAGAATGGCATCTGCCATGGGTGCAGTATGGATCTGAGCAGTAAATCGACATCTCATACCAGAGTTCTGGGCCAGGAGGGGCAGGAGCTGCAAGATGGCACAGCAGGTAATGCCCACTCATGCAAGTATCACAAAAGTGAGAATCTGTCAGGCACACCTTTGACGGGTGTTGAGTTGGGCTCATGAAAGGCTTGTAGGCTCAGGAATCCACAGGTTGCTGGCTGCTGCTTGTAGCACTCACTACCCCTGGAGTCCCAGGGCTTGGAGCCCTGCTTTCCTCACCAGTGCTCGGGGGCAGATGAAGGTCTGCAATCATGGGCCAACTACAAAGGAGCATCCATAGTGTCCTTCCCTTGGTCCTGTGGCCCCATGCATGAATGGATGGGCAGGTTCCATGGAACTTACTGCCATTACCCAGACCCCTCAGCACAAGAAGGGCTTAGGGAGAAACAACTTGATCTGCATTGAGAGTTTACTATGATTATGCCTCAGGACTGCCCACAGTTCTACCTCAGCTCATCATTAATACCTGTCTGTGTGTGTGTGTGTGTGTGTGTGTGTGTGTGTATGTGTACATGCATCTGTGCATGCACATATTGGTACAGGGGTTTGAACTCAGGTCCCAGGCTCTGTCCCTGAGTTTTTTCATTGAGGGCTAGCACTACCACTTGAGCAGAAGAGATTCTCACAGACTTTTCTAGCTGGGCTGCCACTGAATGGCAATCCTCAGATCTCAGCCTCTGAGGAGATAGGAATATGAGAGAATGAGCTATTAGTATCTAACTGGCCAGACTTTCCTTCTTGGATAAAACAAAGTTCCTCTCTGTCCCAGCCGGGCACACATGTACAGCTACCCCTCCAACCCAGGCTTCAGACAAAACATACCCTCCCCTGAGGACAAAGAAATGGGATCAGGTTTGAGCTTTATGTTCTCCACACAGTCTGGGGCTGCTTGGAACTGATGTAGAGGTCAGAGATCTAGGCCAGGGCAAGTAGACAGCTGTTAGAACAGAAGAGCATAGGAAAAGACATCCTTGCAGCTGGGTGCCAGTGGCTCATGCCTATAATCCTAGCTACTCAAGGATCAATCAAGATTCAAAACTAGCCTGGGTAGACTCTTATCTCCAATGAATCATCAAAAAGCTGGGAAGCCAAGCTACCCTAGTTCACATGGTACAGCACCAACCTTGTGCAAACAAGCTAAAGGATAGCACCTAGACTCTGAGTTCAGGCCCCGGTAAACACACACACACACACACACACACAAACACACACATATTAACGTCTTTAGAAGGTGCCAATGTCTCATACCAGCTATCCAATACTCAATAGGCTGAGCTCTTAGGATGGCAGCTTGAAGCCAGCCCAGGCAAGAAAGTCCATGAGACTCTTCTCTCCACTATACTACTAAAAAAGATGACAGGTGAGCTATGATTCAAGTGGTAGATTGTTAGCTCAGGGACAGTGCCTAGGCACTGAATTCCAGCTCTGAGATTTTTTTTGTGGGGTCCAGTCATGGGGCCTGAACTCTGGGTCTGGGCACTGTCCCTCAGCTCTTCAGCTCAAGGCTAGCACTCTACCACTTGAGACACAGTGCCACTTCCGGCTTTTTCCTTTTTGCTTATGTGGTGCTGAGGAATCGAACCCAGGACCTCAGGGATGCAAGGCAAGCACTCTACCACTGAGCCACCTTCCCAGCCCTCTGAGATTTTTTTTAAAATAAATACCCTTTGCCATCACCAACCCCGCAAGCCATAAATCCAGATTTTGGTCATCCTAGATCTCACTTCCATTCCTGCCACTTCCACAACACTGCCACAAGTAGCCAGTTTGTGGCTAGCACTGGGTTAAGAATTGAACTTACACAAGGGGGACATAACCAGGTCAAGGCTAATGCCCCAGAACATTGAGGTACTGGCCATACCAGTCTCTCACCCCCTCTACCCTGACTCTGGAATCTAGTGTGTGCCTCTGTTTTATGGTTATCCGGAATTGTGTAGAAGGACCTGAGAGGTCCAGCTGGGCGGGGGGGAAAATAGACTTTCCTGTGATAATGTATGTTTACATTTCCTAGACACCAATGGATACTTCCAAAACAACTTGGCTCACTTTCCATGTAGCCCCAGATCCTCCTTGTTTGGGTGGCCTTCAGTCAGCTATCAGGCTGAAGTTGTCCAGAGCCATTGGCAACCACCCTTCTCCTACTCCATTGCCAGCCTGCTAGGATGGACATGCATCCAGAGGCCCAGCTGAGGAAAAGGACAGGACATGGCATGACTGAGCCCCTCCTCTTTTGCTGGCCTTGCTGACCCAGAATCCTCTGGAGGCGGCCAAAGTTATGGACAGCCAGACTTGGGCACCAACAAAAAGCTATAATGTACAGGTCTCTGGAAATTTAGGACTCATGGTAGACCCAGATAGGGGGATAAAGGCAGGGTGCCATGGAGGAGGTGCTCCCTCTGAAGTCAGGAAGAGGCAGACAGGCGCCCAAGAAGGGGACAGAGAAAGATGAGGGGAAAATACACACACACACACACACACACACACACACACACACACACAGGGGTAGCCCAAGGCCTCAGCAGTCCCTGAGCACCTGAACATCCCAACCCCCGAGAAGATAGCACTAGCATCCTCAGACCAACTGTAGACAAAACGCAGAGCCTCTCACACATCTGGAATGGCTCATAACACAGCATGGCATTTCCTACTGTACACACTGCTATGCAGAAAATTCAGCTACCTTATTTTTGGTTGTTGGTCATGGGGATTGAACTTTGGGCCTTCACAGATCTCAGTCTCCTGAGTAGCTAGGATTATAGTTGTGAGCCACTGGCAGCACCCAGCTTCAGTTGCCTTCTTATACCCAGGGGAAACCCAAGTTGTCAGGCTACAAATTACATGCAATCCTTCGCTTCAGACTTTGACACCAGCTGCCAAAACCATACTTCCATGGAAGGCGAGAATAAAATTGACACTACCCTCCCACCCCTGCTCACATTCACCCCACTCCCTGCCTAAGACAGGCCACAACCTCTGGAGTTCTTGGTAAGGCAATGCGCACCTGCTGTGATTTCACACTCAGGCCAACCTGGGGAGATCATAGAAATTTCTGTACATTGAGGCCAGCAACTGGTCTCCCAACCACAGCACCCCCACTCCTTCACCATCTCTTGTAGGCAAAGGGTGTCTTTCTGGTTGTTTTTGGTTGAGGGGCTTGAACTCAGGGCTTGCATACTGTCTCCAATGATTATTTTTGCTCAAGGCCAGTGCTCTATCATTTGAGCCAAGGAACCACTTCCAGTTGGAGATTGGAGATGAGACTCTCATGGGACTTTCTTGCCTGGGCTGGGAAACGGGATCCTCTGGATCTCAGCCTCCCAAGTAGCCAGGATGACAGGTGTGAAACACCAGGCCAGGGCTTATGGTATCTCATTCTTTAGAATTTCCTCCTAGACCTCCTCTAGACACTACCACCTAGATACTCCTCTACCACCCTCAGGGACAGCAAATGGAGCTTGGAATCTGGGTAGGGCCATGGGCATTAAAGGGTCCCCTCCAGATCTCTAACCCTCTCTAAGCTCCCATCTGCCTCCTGTGGATGGTCTGGTCATCCGGAGCATATCAGACCCTCTAGGACTTCTGGGGCCTGCCTGTATGCCCCTGCCCCACCCAACAGGTACCTGAGTATTTCTGGAGCCAGCTGCTTCATGTCCTGGTGGAAGATGTTGGGAGTTTTGCTGATAACCGGGTCCAGGTCTTCAGGGCAGAAGGAGTGTCCACTTCCCCTCTGTCAAAGAAGAAGACACAAAGCATGGATGGATCTATTACGAACTACAGAGCATATCCATCCACCCATCACCAAGGTCCCTTTGAGTGCTGTTTTATGTTGACAGTCCTGGGGCTTGACCACGGGCCTGAGCGCTGTTTTAGAGCTTCTTTTGCTGGAGGCAAGTGCTCTTCCACCTGAGCCAAGGTGCCACTTCTGACTTTTTTCTGTGTATGTGGGACCTAGGAATTGAATCAAGGGTTTCCTGTGTGCTATGGAGCCCAATACTGCTAAGACACAATCTCATCCTTGGATAGCTGTTTTTCTGTGACCCCTTGGGCCTGTCTTGGGACAGTCTTGCACATCTGTACCAAGTTTCTCAGCAGCAGCCATGGCTGGAAATGATCATGCTCAGCTATGTTGTCTGTGCTTCCTGTCTGATCCTCCTTGTTAAGTAAGATCCCCTTTCAAGTCCTGCTTCTAAGAATCCCACTCCAATTGCCCTGGCAGAGAGGGATCTTCACTCTGCAGGCTGCCGGCCTTGTCACGCTCTGCCTTCTGGCCGGTGTGGATTGAGAGCACATGAAGAAGGCCTGGCTTCTACCACCCACTTTTTGAAGGCTCTCATACACTATCCTGGGACCAGTGCTGTACCACACTCCATGAGAGGGCACTCGAGGCCCAGGCAATAGGGGCAACAAGATGAGGCCATTTTTTGTGTGGGCTTGAACTCAGGATCTGGGAGCTCTCTTTCTGAGTTATCTTGCTCAAGGCTGCTGCTCTACCACTTGAGTCACAGCTCCACTTTTGGCTTCTTGGTGCTTCCATGAAGAGAAGAGTCTCTCTGGCTTTCCAGCTTATAACTGGCTTTGATCTTTGATCCTCAGATCTCTGCCTCCCAAGTCGCCAGGATTTCAGGCTTGAGCCTGAGCCAGAAGTAATGGGCACCAGAGCCTTTCTTTTTAGCTTCTGTTTATCTCGTGTCAACTATCAAGACCCAGTTAAAATACTCAGTTTCAAGGGTTCAAGTTTGTCTCCTAGATCAGTTAATCCATGGAGATGAACTGTCTTTGGAAAAGGCTACTTTGAATTGAATTGGAGAGAGAGAGAGAGAGAGAGAGAGAGAGAGAGAGGGAGGGAGGGAGAGAGAGAGAGAGAGAGAGAGAGAGAGAGAGAGAGAGAGAGAGTATGAGTTTCAGGGACACTAACCCCCATCTCTGTGGTGCCTCATCCTCCCAGTGGTGAGTACATCCTGGATACCCACCCCAAGGAAGGTGGGTAGGGAGGGTATGTAAGGTCACATCGAGTACAATGATCTGAATTCTATCCTGAAACTGAAGCCTGGAGAGATAATGGAGAGAAGGAGACATTTAGAGGAACATCAAAGGAAGCCCCTTATCTTTGGCTACAAGTACCAGAGAGAAGACTGAATCCATCCTTTTTGGTAGTAAAATAACAGGTGCCCACTATTCATTTATTTTATTATTTTTTTGTGAGTCCTAGGTCTTGGATTCAGGGCCTGGGTGTCATCCCTGAGCTTCTTTTTCTCAAGGCTGAATCTCTACCACTTGAGCCACAGCACCACATCTAGCTTTTTTGTGTATGGGGGAAGGTTGTTTATGGGAGATGAGAATCTCACAGACTCTCCTGCATGGGCTGGTTCTGAGTAACAACCATCAGACCTCAGCCTCCTGAGCCACCAGCACGTGACTGCCACCATCCTTTTATAATCCCCTAGGGCCAGTTCTGGGCCACCCACACTGCACCCCCCTTGTGGTAAGTGGGAAACCAACATGGGTGGGTCTTATACTTCAACAGCCTACCTACCTGTGAGCATTGTTCTGGGTCAATCTGATGGCAGCTTCCTCCTTATTGACAGCAATGACTTGGCTCTGTCACAAGAACAAATGTCCCCCAAGATGTGTCATGCCTAGGGTCTTTCCTCTGCATACTGCCCCTCCACCCTGAAACAACACACTCCAGCAAAGCGAAGTAGACATAGAGTGGATTCATTTTCTTATAACCAGGGTCTGGCGAGATAAGTGGTGGTGAGGATCAGAGGCCCGGGATCATGCTGGGTGGGAGGACAATGTGATGCCTCCTTATCCACTTTCCTTTAACTGTCTTAGCAGAGGGTAGTGGGGAAGGACTCATGGGAGGGACGGATGATAAATATCCGACACAGTCTAACCTGGACACAGAAGGGTTTACTTCAGGGAGCTTGTTCAATAGGCTGAGTGAGACAGCTCCTGACCCACAGCCCACCTCCAGAATGGGAGGGCCACCTTGAGTCCCAGCCACATGGGGACCCTGGGCCACCTCCTCCAGCACCCATTCAACCAGTTCCTGTGTGAGAGAGATAGGTAGGGAGAGAGACAGAGACAGAGAGAGACAGAGAATGTGAGAGAGAGAGAGAGAAAGAAAGAAAGAAAGAAAGAAAGAAAGAAAGAAAGAAAGAAAGAAAGAAAGAAAGAAAGAAAATCCGAATTACACTTTAGCTGAGGGTCGGTGGCACAGGACTCTAATGTTAACTACACAGGAGGCTGAGATATGAGGATCATGGTTCATAGCCAGCCCAGGCAAGAACATCTGTGAGACTCTTATCTCCAAAGAACCACCAGAAAATTGGATGTGATGCTGTGGCTCAAGTGGTAAAGTGCTAGCCTTGATCTGAGGGGCTCAGGGACAGTGCCCAGGTCCAGAGTTCAAGCCTCACAACTGACAAGAAGTGGACTGGCCACCATAAGAAGTGGACTGAATAACACCCACTGTCCTAGAGAACATGGCAGAGAAGTCAGGCCAAGCTTGCTGTCAGCTGGGGGTCATGAGTAGGTCACCTAGTGTCTCAATGCCTTGTTTTCCCCAACTGCAAAACTGAGCACAGTGAAGGATCCCCTTCCTCATGGGGATAGGGTAAGGATGAAAGAGAGCCGTGTTTTGATTCATAATCCTGTACCTGTTGCATGATAAATAACAGGCCCCATCTGAGCGCTTTCTGAGTATCTTCCTGTCATATGCTCACAGAATTGCCAAGAACCATATCTGACAGCCTCTCCCTCAAGGCCTGGATCTGCCCCAGAGATCCCCCAGTATTGAATCCTTGTTTCCTCACAACTGTCTCGGGAGGAGACTGAGGACCAATGGTTGAGGCCCAACCCAGAGCTTCACCTTAGGTCAAGAATTGGCTGCCACAGACTAAGCGTTTGGGACAATCCATCTAAACCAATGACTGAGCATGGCACTACATGTTTAGCATTCCAACTAAAAAGGACCAGGCTTACTGACACATGCCTGTCACAAATAGGAGGGCTGCGATCCAGCCCAGCCTGAGCATATATTATCTATCTCGGAAATGCCCAAGACAGAAAGGCTTAGCTCACATGGTAGAAGACCTGACTGGCAAGCCTAAGGCCTTGAGTACAAACCCTAACATACCAAAAAGAATCAGAGGCTCATGCATGTAATTCTAGCTACTCAGGATACTGAAATCTGAAGATCACAGGTCAAGATTTAAAATAGGGTTGGCCTCACCCATGAGACATTATGAGAAGACACAGACTCTGACCATACCAGTGCACTCAATACTAACAGGGCTCACATCCTTACTAAGAGCTGGCTATGCTGTCTGTTCCCCTTGGAGTCACTCCCTGTGGGCCCCACCCCCAAGTCCTCCTAAGCTCTCTCTGCCACCAACCAGGGCTAAGGGAGTAGACATCTCCAGGGCACACAGATCCTTTGGTCTTATAATTTAATGGTGCTGAGTCCCCTTCAAGTGTTCCACCCTTCCTTGCCCTAAACTTCGGCAACAAAGCCCATGCATCCCCCAAAGACAGCAGTTATAAGTTACCAAAGGGTCCAGCGCTCCGTGTTACAACCCACTTCTACACACACACACACACACACACACACACACACACACACAAACACACACATATACACAAATCCGGCATGGGTGGCTCATGTCTGTCATCTTAGCTACTCAGGAGGCTGACATCTGAGGATCACGGTTCAAAGCCTGCCCATGCAGGAAAGTCTGTGAGGCTCCTATCTACAGTGAACCACCAAATAGCCAGAGGTGAAGCTGTGGTTCAAGTGTCGGAGCACTAGCTTTGAGCACAATAACTCAGGAACAGCACCTAGGCCCTGAGTTCAAGGCCCAGTTCTTCTACCTCCAAACACATACAGACACACACACAAACACACAGACACAGACACAGACACAGACACACACACACACACACACACACACACACACGCACACAGGTAGCCCAAGGCCTCAGCAGACCCTGAGCACCCTGACCATCCCACCCTCAAGAAGAAGGCACTACTATCCCCAGACCAACTGTAGACAAAACTCAGCGCCTCTCACACGTCTGGAATGGCTTATAACATAGCTTGGCATTTCCTAAATATACATACCACTATGCAGAAATCTCAGCTACCTTATTTTTGGTTGTCGGTCATGGGGTTTTACTCTGGGGCTGTTCGCAGTCCCTCAGCTCCTCAGCTAAAGGTGAGTGCTCTACCACTGGAGCCACAATGCCACTTCTGGCTTTCTGGTAGTTCACTGGAGATAAAGTCTTACAGATTTTCCTGCCCAAGCTGGCTTTGAACTGAGATCCTCAAATCTCAACCTCTACCATCCTACACCTGCTACCATTCATCCAGTTCCTGCCTGCCACAGGCCACGACCTCTGGAGTTCTTGGTAAGGCACTGCCCTCCGTGCTGTGGCTTCTCACTGGGGCAAACCTGGGGAGTTCTTAGAAATGTCTGTACGGTGAGGCCAGCACCTGTTATCCCAACCACAGCACCCCGACTACATCACCATCTCTTACAACCAAAGAAGGGGTGGCTTTCTTTCTTTCTTTCTTTTGGATTGAGGGGCTTGAACTCTGGGCTTCGATACTGTCTCTGATGTCTATTATTCCTCAAGGCCAGTGCTCTACCACTTGAGCCACAGCTCCACTTCCAGTTTGATTGGAGATGAGGCTCTCGTGGTACTTTGCTGCCTGGGCTGGGAAATGAGATCCTCTGGATCTCAGCCTCCCGAGTGGCCAGGATGATAGGCATGGGATGACAGGCATGAGCCACAGGCACACAGCTTATGGTGTCTCATCCTTCAGAATTTCCATTAGTCCTCCTCTAGACGCTACCACCTAGACACTCCTCTAACTCCCTCAGGGACAGTAAAGGGAGGCTAAGAATTTGGGTAGGGCCATAGGCTTTAAAGGACCCCCTTCACATCACTAGCCCTCTCTAAGTTCCCATCTGCCTCCTCTGGATGGACTGGTCATCCAGGGAAGATCAGACACAGTAGGAGTTCTGGGGCCTGCCCTGTATCCCCCCGTACTACCCAATAGGTAACTGCGGATTTCTGGGGACAGCTGCTCCATGTCCCGGTGGAAGACATTGGGAGGGTTGCTGATAACTGGGTCCAGGGGTGCCTAGGGCAGAAGAGTTTCCAGCTCCCCTCTGTCAAAGAAAGAGACACAAAGCATGGATAGATCTACTAAGAGCTTCAGGGCATAGCCATCCACATTTCACTAAGGTCCCTTGGAGAACTGTATTGGGACAGTCTCACACATCTATACCAAGACTCACACAACTGTACCAAATCTCTCACCTGCAGCCCTGGCTGGAAATGAACATGCTCTGCTATGCTCTCCATCATCTGCAGCACCTTTGACCTCTGTGTTTCCTGTCAGATCATTCTTCTTAAGCAGGACCCCCTTTTCAAGTGCTGCCTCTAAGAAGCCCGTTCCGATCACCTTGGCAGAGCTGGCAACTCTTCGCTCTGCAGGCTGCCGGCTTTGTCACACTCTGCCTTCTGGCCAGTGTGGGTTGAGAGTGCACAAAGTGGCAGGCCTGGGTTCCACTACAGGATTTCTGAAGGCACTGATACACCACCCAGGGACAGGTGTTTTATCACACTCCGTGAGAGGGCACTCAAAGCCCAGGTAGGCAGTCTGTGGTCATAAGACAGGGCCATTTCTTTTTGTGGGCTTGAACTGAGGATCTGGGAGCAGACTCTCTGAGTTTTATTGCTCAAGGCTGGTGTTCTACCTCTTGAGCCACAGCTCCACTTCTGGCTTTTTGGTGGTTCCATGGAGAGTAGAGTCTCACGAGCTTTTCAGCTTATGGCTGGGTTCAAATAGTGATCCTCAGATCTCAGCCTCCAGTATGACAGGGATGAGCCTGAGCACCAGGTGACAGGCACCAAATGCTTTTTCTTGCTCCTGTTTATTTCCAGTCAACTAGCAAGCCCAAGTTAAAATAATCAGTGACTGGGGATCAAAATCCTCTCCTAGGTCAGTTAATCCAAAGAGATAAAATGTCTTTGGAAAAGGCTAGTCTGAGTAGGCCTAGTGGTGTGTGGGAGGGTTTGGGTGTGTGTGTGTGTGTGAGAGTGTATGTGTGTGTGTGTGTGTGTGTTTGTGTGTGTAAGTGTCAGGGATACCTACCCTTATCTCTGTGGTGCCACATCCTCCCAGCAGGGAGTGCATAAAGAATCCTGACCTCAAGGAAGGTGGATAGGCAAGGGTACTTAAGGTCATAACCAGGGGGATGATCCGAATTCTGTCCTGCAACTGAAGCCTGGACAGATAATGGAGAAAAGGAGAGGATTAGGAGAACATCAATGGAAGCACCTTACCTTTGGCTAGAAGGACCAGCCAGCTAGAAGACTGAATCCATCTTTCTTGGTAGTCAGATAAAAGGTGTCACTGTTCATTTATTTTATTATGATTGTGTGAGCCCTAGGGCTTGGATTCAGGGCCTGGGTGTTATCCCTGAGCTTCTTTTGTTAAAGGCTGAGGCTGTACCACTTGAGCTACACCACCACATCTGGCTTTTTTGTGTGTGGGCTTGGGGGAGAGAGGTGGTTTATGAGAGATAAGAATCTCATGAACTTGCCGGGCGCTGGTGGCTCACGCCTGTAATCCTAGCTACTCAGGAGGCTGAGATCTGAGGATCGCGGTTCAAAGCCAGCCTGGGCAGGAAAGACCGTGAGACTCCTATCTCCAATAAACCACCAGAAAACCGGAAGTGGCGCTGTAGCTCAAGTGGTAGAGCGCTCGCCTTGAGCTGAAGAGCTGAGGGACAGCGCCCAGGCCCAGAGTTAAGCCCCATGACCAACCAAAAAAAAAAAAAAAAAAAAAGAATCTCATGAACTTTTCTCCCCGGGCTGGCTTTGAGTCACGGCCATCAGCCCTCAGACTCCTGAATAGCCAAGATGATGGGTGGGAGCTACAAGCTCCTGACCACCACCATCCATTTATAATTCCTTAGGCCCAGGGCTGTGCCACCCACACCACACTGTACCTCCTTGTTGGGAGTGGGAAGCAGACATGAGTGGGTTTGATACTTCAACAGCCAGCTTCCTTCTTATCCACAGCAATGACATGGCTCTGTCACAAGAACCAATGTCCCCCAGGAGGTGTCAGGTCTGGGGTCTTTCCTCTGCACCCTGCCCCCCTAACCGAAATGAGGGTCTTTCCTGCCCAAGCTGGCATTGAGTTGAACCGTGATTCTCAGATTTCTGCTCTTGAGTTCTTAGGGTGATAGCCATGAGACACTGGCACCTGGCCAAAGATACTTTTCCAAGCCTGTCATCCTATCCCCTCAGGAGACTGAGATCTGAGGACTGCAGTTGGATGCACCCTTCTCAGCAAAGTCCATGAGAATGTTTATCTCTAATTAAACACCCAAAAAAGTTGGAAGTGGAGCTGTGGCTCAAATGGCAGAATGCTAGCTTTGAGCATAACACAAGGGATGGGACCCAGGCCCTAGTTATAAACTTTTTCTAACATAGACCTACCCAAGAAAGGGAAGCAGGTGGGCACATGGGAGCTCAAAACACACATAATACCCAAGACTCACAGAATAGACCCCATCCTGCTCTGATTCTCTAGATTCTATGTCCTAGATTATATCAGTCTTAGATGGGACTGACCATGCACCAAGACAGAACATTCAAGTACAATCTCATACTGAGGATCCCGTGACCTCATCAAGGACTTAAGATCCCTTGACACTGGTCAGTCAGTTGAGGTCTAGTTATCCAGCCACAAGATATGAGATTGGAAGGATTTCTTGGCCAAGGGAAGCAGACTGGAGGGCTGTAGGTCCCTCTCTCGGGAAGGAGAAAAGGCCTATCCATCCCAGGAATGTTCCTGGGTTGTCAGTATCCCCGATGAAATAACCTTGCTCAGAGCTCAGTGCCTCTGGTTTTCCCACCAGCCTCCACCCAGCCCTGCCCCACCTTCAGTCGGCCCTCTCTGAATCCCAGGTCTGCCATCTAGACTAAAAGTTGAGCCAGCAAAGGGACCCACCTCTATCTCTGAGAATGGCAGTCACGGGGCCCTACAGTCCCCTAGAGGAAGTCTTGGGACAACAGGGGTCTGATTTCCCCCCTCATTCTCTGGATGTCCTGTGCCAGTGGCAGGCTTACCTCTGTCTCTGGTTGAGAAATGAACACTGGGGGTGTCATCTTCAGATTGAGCCAGCAAAAGTCCCAGTCCCCAAGGCATCTAGCAGTGGATGACAGCCAGCTGGTCAGTGGTGAACCCAAAGTGCCAGGACTTTTAACAGCCATGTGGCTGGGCCAAAGTCTCTATCAATAATGGTCTAAGTTGTTAGGTGAGGTCATGGCTCCAATGGCCTGACACACCTGACCTGGGATTGTACTCCCTCTTCATCTTCTTGCTTATCCCTTGCCACCCCACTCTTGACACTCCCTCAGCCTATACCTTGCTATCCTTTGGACAATGTCTTCTTATCTGACTAGAAAATAAACTCGGTGGGCCAGGGGAGCCTGGTGACACACCCTGAGCCCTAGGGTCTACCCAAGGCTGTTTCCCTCTGCAGTCGGCGACCACACAGCTCCTGGATGTCATGAAGTTGCTGAGGGGTCAGTGGCTTGGTCCTAGTTATTGGCTTTAGGCTCTGAAAGTGTCCCCACAGAGATTGTGAATGGCTGGCTCCCTTGATCCAGGGACTCCAAACCAAGGCTCGCATGTTCCATTTTTCCTTCCTTTCCTCCTTTTCTCCCTCCATCCTTCCCTCCTCTTTCTCTTTCCTTTCTTTGTGTCACTCCTGGACCTTGAACTCAGAGCCTGGGTGCTGTCCCTGAGACTTTTTACTCAAGGCCAACAGTCTACAGCTTGAGCCACTCATCCACTTCTGGCATTTTCTTTTTGGTAGTTTGTGGAGATAAGAGTTTTACAGGCTTTTCTTCCTGGGACTTAAGCCTCAGTCCTCGCATCTCAGCCTCCTAAGTAGCTAGGATGACAGGTATGAAGCACCGGCATCCAGCTCAAACCAAGATTTCTTCATGTGTTGTGGAACCAGCACTGGAACCTTTCAGCGTCTATGACCGCCTGGACCTGGCACTCACTGTAACGGTTTGTTGGATAAATAAATGAGCATCTCTCTACGACAATATTACAGAAAACTCCCATCCAACTCAGGTAAGCATCCTGGGGGTGGAGGGGTTAGTGGGGGAGGTGTTGAAGCCTGAAGTAGCTCTTCCACAGTTCTCCCTCATCCCTTGTCCTGCCCTCCTGGTGCCACCGCACTTAACTCTTTTGGCTCTGAGGATGTGAGCCAAAATGTACTCGCTGGATTCTGGAGCTCTACGATGCCTCTCTTCTCAAAAATCGTTGTCCAGCCGCTAACCCACAGTTTGGCACTCAATTCAGCCCTCAGGTGTGAATGAGGCACTTGAGGTGAAAGCCTGGCTCAAGGGGCCTCCTCTCCTCCTCTTGGGGCCAGACAGGATGGTCCACCACATCCGGCCCCCAAGTTTCATCTTGCAGAGAAAGGATCCTTGAAGCATCCTGGTTCTCTGAATTTCCCAGATTGCAGTGCAATGCTGGGAATATTCTCTGCTCACAGCTGGCAGGCTGGGGATGGAGAGGTCACCATCTTTGCTCCTCATGATGTCCTTGATTGTGGTGGTCACCCTAGAGAGAACCAGAGGAGAATCAGCAGCTGCTGGAGGAAGGCAGCCAAAAGAGGATGTTCATGACAGGAGACGATCTGGCCTGGGAACTCTGCCTGTGCTGCTTTGAACATCATTGTTTGACAGCTGAAATGGTCCATCTAATTTGACCCATAATCCCAGTCATTAGGAGTAATTGCCAGCTTAAAGAAAAAATCCTGGAAAAGCTGGCATTTCAGTTGTCCCTATCAAACTTAAATGTTTCCAAAGTCAGTGGTCCCCTTTTCCTTCAAGACAGCCTACAGCAGGTTACAGAAACTGACATTGAGCCTGTCCTAGTTAACTGCCATGGCCTGACACCTTGCAGGGTTCAGCAGGGGGAACGCACTTGCCTACCACTGCCCAGCTGGAAGCGGCCCAGGCGGGACACAGATGGGAGTCTACTGGACTCCAGGGAGCACTGCCCACCGGTGCAGTGCCCTAGGAGGGAATCCATGCCACCAGGGGGGGCCTGGAGCCCCCTGCCCAGATGCCCATGGACACCGACAAAGCCCTGGGTAAGGTTCCCCTCTCATCCATGTTTGTGGTGAACCATTTGCTATGTCACACCATTCGCCACCCACCAGACCCTCCTAGCTTCACATCTTCTGCCCTACTCCCCCATCTCATTCCCTAATTGTGTTTGGCGGACACATTCCCAACCCTTGAATTAGCTCCAACTCTACACACCAGAGCAGGGTGTCTGGCTGTATGAGTGTGGCTGTGGTCACACTTGCCTCACCAGCCTGAAAACAGAAGGACAGGTGTCCACTCTGGTCTGCGATTCACACAGACCTCCAAGGGGAGACCCACGCAGGCCCAGCAGCTACTGTGAACTACAGGAAAGAGGAAGAGAGAGGTGGAAAGAGGTGGAAAGGAACATCTACTGAAACCTTCCCCAAATGGTTCATGTAACGGTGAAAGAAAAAACAAAAATTGAGGCTGGGATCATACTTGGCATTGATGACCAAAGAACAATACACATACACACATGGTGACTTAAATATATTTCCATTGTTATCATCTCCCTGCTCTCTCAACACACACACACACACACATACACACACACACACACACACACACACACACACACACACACACAAATGCAGACCTGTGACAGAAGACTGGTCCATGGAGCACGTGCAATTTACAAGGTGAAAGATGATCTCTCTCCCTCCCTGCCTCTCTCTCTCTCTCTCTCTCTCTCTGTTTCTCTCTCATACACACACACACACACACACAGAGACTCAGAGAGTGCCTCTCCTGAGTTTGTCAGTTCCTCATCTGGGACAATGTACAAGCTGGGGCATGGGGTTCCCTTGTCAGAACCAGGGGATCCCACCAAAGGGGAGCACCACTCTAATAACAAAGAACCACCCTGCCTCTCCCTTCTCCAGGGCCAGAATCTTCCTCTTGGGAACAACAAACCTTAACTCCACATAAACCATAACCCTAGGCCAGGATGCTGGATAAAGGAGTCCTGAGACAGGTGGCTCCTCAGAGCCAGGACAGATAACAAGCAGGGGTTCATGGTGCCCCCAGAGGGGTGTCTGACCTGGGGTGGAGACGGTGTTGGGGAAATGGATGGTGTCCTAAGTGTTACATACATGGATGGACTTCCTACTTACAGCCTAGATGCTTCTGGGCGACTTGGCACAGTCCTGGGGAGGATGAGGAGACCAGATGGATCAGGAGCACCAGCAGATTCTGGCAGAGCTGGGAAATGTGATCACCCTGTGAGAACTGATGGCAGCTGGGGTGGGAAGAATAGGCTGGGTGTGTGTGAGCGAGGGGTGTTCCTCCAAGATATTCATCTTATATCTGTTGCCCAGTGCCCTCACCTCCCTAGTGGGCTCTTCTGGGACCCGGCTCTTCTGGGACCCTCCTCAGGTGAAAGGGTGACCAAGCATAGAGGACAAGGGCTCACACATCTTCAGCATCCAACACCCCTATCCCCAGAAAAAAGGAGAAAACCCGAGAAGGCAGGTTTGGAGATGCTGCTCCCCACCTCTGACTGAAGCCACCAGGTTCCCACCAAGGTGAGGAAGGGTGCAGATGGGTGGCTGTGTGGTTCCATTACCCCAGGCCAGGAGCTCTCTGGTGCCCCCTCCTCACCCAACCCTGCATCCCCCCTGTTTCCTGGGACACTGGCCACTGGGGACATGAGAGGGATCCTCGGGTTGCCACGCACCCCCACCCCCTACCCCTGGGGTGCATGTGCGGCAGAGCAAGGGTATACTGTGGGATGCAGGGGAGGCATAGGTGGGACAGGAGAGGGGAGGCGGGAGGCACGGGTCTGGGTCCACAGAATGGGGGAGACTGTGAGGGGGGGTCGAATGGTTCGCTGGGCAATGGTGTCCCAGGGTGTGGGTCCGTAGGGTGGCCGCTCACGTCTGCTGCTGGGAGAAGCTGTGCGCAGAGGCTCCAGGTGTGGCAGGCCCGGAGTCTTAGAACCAGGGACCTGGACCGAGTCACTGAGACAAGCAGGCCAGGGGCGCGTTATCTCAGCCGGGCAACTGAGAGAGGCTCCCTGTGTCTAGGCTGGCAGCACCATTTTTGAAATGCAGCACCTTGGGGAGGGTTGGGGAGGGAGGCGCGGGGTCTGAGGGCACATGGTAGGGCGAGTGCGACCTCTCCTCCCCCTCAGCTGCAGACAACTCAGCTCCCTCTTCATACACAGCCAGACCTGTTTCTGCCAATACTGCCATTGCCCCTGCCACTGCTGCCGCCAAGGCAGCCTCTTCAGCTGCCTCCTCCTCAGTGGCCTCCTCCTCTGTGGCCACTGCCACCACCATGATAATTGGAACCTTGGACTTGGGACAGTCCATGGCCACCATGCCACTGGGAGGCTGCTTGAAGTGATGTGTCTCCTGTGCTAGCTCCACATGCTCTGTGCTCCTAGTCAGGACCTTCACTTCAATTGAGGCCTCAGCCAGCCACTGAAGCCACTTCCTCTCATGCATGTACTTACTCCTCTCTGCTCTCTCTCTCTCTGCCTCCACTCCTCTTGCAGGCCACTTCGACCCCTCTGCACATGCATGTGTGCCACTGAGTACCCCTGGGCATTGCTACCATCACAGTGAGCCCCCTGGGCCCTGCCTCCTCCTCCCCTCAACCCCACCCCCACCTCTCCTCAGCCTCACCCCCTATTCCCCTCAGCCCTGCCCCACACCCTTGCCTACAAGAGCAGCCCTGACTGGGCCCTAAGGCTTCCAGGGCATTGGAATTGCAGCCTCACCTCAGCTCAGCACTCCCCACCAACCCTAACACTTGCCCAGGGAATCAAATCTCCCCTCAGCCCCACCACTAGAGGAGACTCTCCTCCATTCAACTCCAATCCATACATCAAGCAGATACACGATGACCCCTGTGTGTGTGTATGTAGCTGTGTGTGTGTGTGTGTGTGTGTGTGTGAGAGAGAGAGAGAGAGAGAGAGAGAGATTTTTGGGGATAACTACCTCAGAACATAGCACCCTTTGGGATGACTCAGCACAGAGAACACTTCAAAAAACTGCACAAAGCACCCTGTGTAAAGGACTCAGCACAGTCAGCCCTTTGAAGGACTTAGCTTATAGTAACCTTTGGGATGACTCAGCATACAGATCCCTTTGAAGAGGAAGTCCATAGCACCCAGTGTATAGGACTCAGTTCATGGCATGCTTTGAAAAACTCAGCACGTAGCACTCTTTCCCAGGACTCAGCACAGAGCACCCTGTATTAAGGCTCCACACACACCACTCTTTGAAGGAATGAGTATGTAGCACCCTGTGTAAAACATTCAGTGCACAGCACCCTTTAAAAAACTCAGCATATAGCAGAGTTTTGAAGGACTCAGCACATACCACCCTATGGAAGGACTCAGCACACAGCACCATTTGAAGGACAGTACAGAGCACCCTGTATAAAGGACTCGGTACACAGCACTCAAAAAACTCACCTCATCCCACTCTTCTCAAGGATGCAGCACATTGAACCCATTGGGATGACTCAGCATATAGCCCCCTTTGAAGGACTCAGCAAAAGTACGTTGTATAAAGTACTTGGTCCACAGCATCCATTGAAAAATTCACCTGTCCCTCCCTTCTCAAGGGCTCAGCACATAGCACACTTTGGGATGAATTAGCACACTGCACTTTTGAAGGACTCAGCATAAAGTACATTGTGTAATGGACTCAGCACACAGCACCCTTTGAAAAACCCTGCATGGCCCACTCTTCTCAAGGACTCACAATATAGCACCCTTTGTGATGACTCAGCACACAAAATGCTTTTTGAGGACTCAGCACAAAACCCCCATGTCGGAAGGACCAAGAAAACAGCACCCTGTGAAGGATTCAGCACATAGCTGTATGTCACAAGTTCAGCTGTCATTAGAATTAGGGTGCTTTCTTCTGTATCACCATTCTTCAGAAACACTTCACAAATCCTACTAGTTCACCTTTAGCTAACTATGTTTTATGGGTGAGGGTCAGCTGGGGGTCTTGAATGCACAGCGTGGGGGTCCTGTCTCTGAGCTCTTTGGTTCAATGTTAGAGCTCTACCACTTTGAGACACGGCTCCAATTTTTTTTGGGGGGGCGGTTGTTCTTTGACAGGCCTTACAGTGATCAGGAAGGCCAAGTTGTGGTATCCATGGCCAAAGGCTCTTAGCTTGGTCTGGAGCTGACCTCCCCCTTCCTTGTTCTCCTGGAAGCAGGGCCTCCTGGAGCTCTCTTGGCCTAGGGTGGAACAGATCTGCTCTGGAATCAGCATTCAAGGTGGGCAAAAGTCAGCTTGGCCCTGGTCACTTCCCCCAATTGAACTCTAGATGATGATATTCCCCCACTATGGTATGGGGCCGCATGTCCCGCATCTGGCTACAAGGGGGCAGGAGTCACCCACCATAGGGATTGTACCTGCGAGTTGTGTTTACTCTTGCTTCCCTGGGGCCCCCATCATGCTTCGAAGCCACACTGGACAGGAATATACTTGAGAGACTTACCTACAATTAACCATCAAAAAGCAAGTAGGGCTGTGGCTCAAGTCGAAGAGCACTAGCCTTGAGCAAGAAAACTCAGGGATAGAGCCTAAGCCCTGAGTTCACACACACACACACACACACACACAAACACACACACATGCACACCCCCCCACACACACACACGCCACATAAATGCAAAATCAGAGATTTTTACACTGCAATCTTTGGGTATTCTCTACATTTTCCCCACTAAGCCTGGTGGCTGTTGACCTAGGTGTTTGATGAATCCAACACCAGCTGGCATCTTTAATTTTGGGGAACAGAATGGCTAGAAGGTCAGCCTTCCCCCATCCCAGCTCTTTGACTGGGTCAAGGTCTAACCAGGCCCTTTGGGGCTCCTTTTACAGAATCTCCAAGATGCCTTCAAAAGGCATCACATGCTAGGCACTGGTGGCACATGCCTGTCATTCTAGCTACTCTGGAAGTTGAGATCTAGAGGACCACAGTTCAAAGCCATCTTGGGCAGGAAAGTATGTGAGACTCTTACCCTCGATGAACCATCAGAAAACAAGAAGTGGCACTGTGGTTCAAGTTGTGGAGTGCTAGCCATGAGAAAAAGAGCTCAGGGATAGTGGCCAGGCCCTGAGTTCAAGCCCCTGGCCTGGAAGAACAAATCTTTGTTGGAGGCTTGTTTTCCCTTTGAAAACAATTCATTTTTTGGGAGAAGCATAACATGGGCCTCTTCCCTGGCCACCAATGGTCCATTAGATGTCCCTTGAATTTGGGCCACCTCCCGGCAGCCTCTGCCCTACCCGCCCAGAGTTTACCCTTCCCATCACCTGGCAGATGGAGGCCTGAGAGAAGGCCACCTGGCCACCTACTTGTGGTGGCTTCTGAGGCTTTTGAGCGTCAGTATGTCACATAGAGTCATCATCTGCATCAGTCTATAGAAGAAAGGGAGGGAACACTCCTCGCCTGAGCCTGTGGGTGATCTGCATGTGTGGCTTCTGTGGCAGGATGTGCTTCATGGGGGAGTACTCTATGGGGTAGGTACCCCGACCTGTCCTTTGGCAGTTTCCACACTGCTTTGAAGTGGCAATTCTTCAAAACCTTTCTGCTCCTCCCTCATTTTGACCACCCCACAGCCTGAGGTGTCTGAAGTGGTGATGGTGGCAGAGGACTCAGCCTGTGACAGCATCTGGTGCCTGCTGTCCATGCCTTCCTCTGAGAGGAACCACAGTGGCTCCCACAGTTCTCTCCTCTTCATCTTCTTCTGGGACATCCAGCATATGTGCTCAGCTTTCTCCTAACACAGCTCATCCAGGATGAACATCTGCTCTGTACATGCCACAAGGAAGTCGTCGATGGTGCAAATGTATGCCAACAGCTGTCTGCATCGATGGTGGAGCTCATCCACTGGACAAAAGGAAGTCCACCTCAACAGGCAGGTCATGGACAAAGCAGATTTTCTCCTCAGATGTCCACGTGTCCTGATTCCCATCCCCATGTATGCTGTGGTACTAACTTGCAGGTTGGAGGGCCAGTGGCTCCAGCTTTCTCTGACACTGAGTTGCCAGGTGGACTGGGCATCAGCAGTGAGCCTGCCACTCTTGGTGCAGGAGTTTCCCCCTATGGATTTCAGCCATGGAGAGCGCCCCTAGATCCATGTCCCTCTCGGTTTGGGGGATGTCTCCATCCTCTGCGATGGTCACATCTGGGGGAGTTGCCTCCTCACCTTTGCTTCTCCAGGGCTCTCAACTTCCCCTTCCTCAGGGAAAGCCACTCCTCCTGTGGTCTGGTCGCTTCCAGGCACTTGAGGATGTCCTGCCATTTGGGGGGCACCACCTGGTCCCGACAGTTGGTGGGGCCTGAACTTGCTTCAGCTGTTCCAGCAGCTGGGTCTGCCTCTCTAGGTGCTGCTGCAGGGCCTCCTTCTTGGAGCTCAACTGCTCATTGGTGGTGATGTGCAGCTCACATGTGGTTCTGAGCTCCTGCAGCTGGGCCAGGGACTGCTCCTGCTGCTCTTGCGGCTCCCAAGCTGTTTGGCTTTCTCTCTCAGCCACCTCTTTCCATTCCTCTATCTTCTCCTCTGTGTGGTCCAGCTGTTCCCACAGATGTTTCTTCACCTGCTGCTCTGAGTCCAAAATGCTGGCTAGCTTCTCCTTCTCACTGGTCACCATGTGGAGAGCATCCCGCAGCAGGGCCAGCTGTTCTTCCATCTGTCCGTGGCACACATGTGCATTGTGGGACCTTGCAGATCTCCTGCTGATCCTTGGTTTTCTCCTCCAGTCTCCACAGTTGCTTCTGCTGCTCCGTATTCTGGAAACGGAGACTTTGGTTTTCCTGGACCTGGATGTGAGGTTGTTCCTCCAGGTTTTTCAACTCCATCTGCATGCACTAGGCTTGGGCTTGCACCTGCCACTTGGCCGGAGATGGTCCCGAAGGGGGCCATGTCTCTGCCAGCTTCCTTCTCAGTTTCCCCAGCTCCTTCTCTAGGTCAAACACCTGCCTTGCCCCCTATTCTTCTCCTCTGTCAGTTGGTTCACCCACTTGGTCAGCCACCGGGCCTCCTCCTTCTGCATGGACCTCTCAATGCTCAGGTCTTCTGTGAAGGTGTCTCTCTCTAGATTCGCTGCAGTCACCATCCAGCTCAGGTTATTCAGTAGTCCCTTCAGTCACCATCCAGCTCAGGTTATCCAGTAGTCCCTTTAGTACCTCATGCCCCGCCAGTGCTTGTTGGAACTTGCAGATTCTGCTCTTCATGTTGCTCCACTGTGTCCAGAGTGCTTCCAGCTTCTCCTGCAACTCAGTGTTCACTTGCTCCAAGTCATTGAAGCTTCTGATCTTTTCCTCCAGCTGAAGGATCACATCATTCAGCTGTTCAAAGAACATTTTGGTCTCATTCTGTGATCAATGACCACAGAAGCCACCATCTCCAGCTCTGCCATGTGCTACTCTGCAGTCTGCAGGCAGCTGGTGAGAGCTTCATGCTCCCTTTCTCTAT